TCATGGCTGCACACCCCAACCTGTCCCTGCCTGGAGCTGTTGGGTCAGTGGGGACCCTCCTGCAGAGAGGGAGGCCTCATCCCAAGTGGGACCGGGGGTCACCTCCAGCACAGGGGGCCACTGAATCACTGTTCCAGCACTGGCTGGTGTCTTCTGAACCACAGAAGTCCCTAAAGGAATGCAAACAGTTTCAAGGGTCAGATGTAACTGCTGTTGTTAAAGTTGTTCTTTTAATATTTGAGCACATTTTAATGATGCTTTAAAAATGCTCTTTCCTCATTTAATGTCTTTAAAAGGCGCTTACACAAACAAAGCTGCACAGGTGGGAAAGAGACAATCAGGATGTGACGCTTTTGTTCCCAGCTCATACAGCCAGAACGCTGCCTCTTTCTTCTAATGCTATTTTTATGGATGTTGACCGCAGAACCAATCCTTGCTTCGTAAAAAATACTTCTACAGAGGCTTTGTTTTAGACTTTCAAATAGTTGTGCCCCTTTCTAGCTCAAAGCAGAGCTCCCATTGGTCCTGGAGTACTACGGGAGCCCGCATTGTGTCTGTGCATGCTGCTTAGCTTGGTAAAATACCTGGTGCTGGAGTGGACGGTACTTGAAATGACAAGTTTTTGCCGGTGATGTAGCAGCAGGTGATTATCTCTTACACAGTCCTGTAAAAAATACTTGTAAAAGCATTCTTGGTTATCAGAGCACTTGCTCCAAAGCTGTTAAGAGTATTTTTCAAAGAGGAGTTTACAAATAACTTTCCCACAGTCTCATTGTCACCCCAATGATGTTACTGTCCTGCTGATGGTTGCATCAAGTGGACTTGCCAGTTTATATAAGGTGAAGGTTCCGTGTGTGTATATGAATGCTTCACACTTGTCTTTTGACACATGCTATTTTATCAAATGGAGAAGGATTTTACTTACAACAAATAACGCATTTGCTGATAATCAAGTTTTGTTTGCCTTAAGACAAGACAGGGCCGAGCCCTGCTGGTGTTTCAAGGGCTGAAGTTTCCAGAGGAAGGAACCTCACCAGGGAGGATGGTCAGAACTGCCACCTGATTGAATTCAGGATTAATAACTCCTGTGTGAGAAGTAGGACAGGATTTAATCTAAAGGAGGTCGTGGTTTGATTTATCATGCATTGCTGCTGAGGGAGGGAAGGCTTTTTCCTTTCACCTGCTGTTTCTCCCTGAGCTGTCTGCTCCTGTCTGTCTCTTCCACTCCGTGACCCAGGAGAAGCCCAGTGGCTTGCACCTTGGAAGAAATTAAAAGCAAAGCAATGACACAGGGAAAAAACCAGAAAGTGAGCAAAAATAAAGAAACGAAAAAATTAACTTTTCTACTCAACCACCCAGAGCAGCCAGGGTTTGAAAGGGAAAGATTTCATGTGGTCAAATAAATACATTTTAAAAAGCATCTAAACCCCTTGCAGCAGCGTGCAGTGAGCCAGGTGGCCAGTGCTGATGTGTCAGGTTCGGGTGCTCCCTCTCCCATGCATCTGCCCCTTTCTCCAGGAGCTGTGGCAGTGCCATGTTGGGAAGTGGG